TCTGCAAAGCATCAGAAAGGCATTACCTGGAGTATTTTCTACAAGTCACACTCAGGGTGAAGTCAGACTTGAATCCATACGTGGAAAGTCTAAAAGAGTGGTAAGATAAATTTAAAAAAAAGTCTTATGACAGGAAACTTTTAAGAGCACCTCTTCTTTAGTCAAGCAAAAAAAAAAAGGCTGATTAGAGCCTTTCTTTGTCTACAAATCCATCAAATAAAAACTATGAAAAGAACCACTTATGCTTACATGCTTGCCAGAAGAGTAAGTGAGTATAAAACCTATCACCACCACATTTAGGCTGGGAATTACAAGGCTTCTAATCATTAGAATACTGAAGTGTTATAATAGCTTTCCATTAGAAATATTGACGGCAAGAAACCTAGCTCCTTTTAGGAAGATACTTGCTCAGACTAAGAAAGAGATTATACGATGTGGTTGCCTGATGGACTGCACAGATAAAGAGATTTCTTCCAGACCTCTCTTAGCAGTTCGGTCTTTGCAGTGATCCTGGTGGCTCCACTTCCTCAAATGCACCGAAATGAGAGTATTCATGGGTCCAGCACAGCCTACATCTCTTCCAGGACGCGGAGGGCCAGACACAGCCGTTAAATGTTTGAGAACATTACAATGGAGACCTCTGAGGGCTGACAGGCAGCTAGGAAGTTATGGGTTAAGCATCGCTGTATGAGAGGAACAGCACTGAATTCCAAATGGGATAGAGCCATACAGCTTAGTTAGTGTAAACAAATGGTTATGATTCCTGTCAAGAACAATTTTTCATCTCCATAAAGCCGAATTTAATAACACGGCACAGGCACCACTGAAAACGGGAATATTAGCTTTCCAACAATTTCCCAAAATTGAAATAGAATCTGTTTTGGCAAAAACAGTACAGTTGTCTACCAAGAAAAACATTTTAGGTAGTTATATAAGCAATAAAAATAAATGTTTTATAAAATTCACCCAGAAGGACTTAAAAGTATTAAAAAAACCAATAATAATTAACCAGATTTCATGAAGTATAAAACAGCCAAAAATAACAACCAGTACAGCTGAAGATGGTGAAGTCATTTCTTCTACTGCACTCCAAAGCCCGACCACCTGTAGAGATTAAAAAAAATATATCCAAAGAATTAATTTTCCTAATATGGACACAGAGCAAAATTCTGTCTCTTAACATGACTTCATTTGCCAAAGTAATGGAATTTTATGCAAGCTTAATATGTTTTACAAGTACTTGTTCCTCTGGCACAGCAGCAAATCATTGGGAAGACAGATAAAATTAAGGAGTATCTACTGGGTTTCCTTTTGCTTTTAAAAAAATAGTATTGCCTCCAGCCAGGCTGCTGCTCACTACTGCCTCCTGAAGCAGCCTATCGTCCTCCATAGATGATGGAGGTAATTTAGGAAGAGCAGACAGATTAACGTTAACCTCTGTCAAAACCTGCCATTCTGACACAAATGTGATAATCCTACTCTGCATCTGCCAAGGGATTTCCAGTAAAGCAAACCACTAGTACCATCTCAGAGGCTAACATCTCGTTTAGTCTGTATGTGGGCACAATGTTGAAAGACAGAATAACTCCTATCAGAACAGGTTCACAAAAGAGCACGATAAGGACATAAATTAGGGGGCAACAATGGTTAATTTTGTTTGTGAAATGAAGGTTGAGATAGGTTATGACAACACGTCATATGGGGGAATAAATTAAAAGAAAATAACATTTTAAACTAAAACGTAATAGTAGTAAAAGATCAGGTCCATGAATACATTTACTCTGGAAACTGAAGTTTTCTGAATTTCTAGAATTGCTTTACACCCTAGACAGCGGAGCAAGGAACCTAAACTGTTTTAAGATAAAGCTTGATGTTTTCAGTTCTGTTACAGGACAAAAATGATCCTTGAGTTAAAATCTCATCTTTGGAGCTCTGACTATTAATCCCTGGATATCTGATTGCATTGACTTACCCCGAAAGATTGGACATAAAGGACATTTGCTTACTACTGACTGATCATAATTCTTTCCATGTATTTCTGATATATTAATTATGATTCTACATAATTTCTGTAGGCTACTTGAAAAAGCATTAGCTCTGAGGCTAAAGAATACTGTGTTGCTTTTACTTGGAAACGTTGAAGGTGGGCAACAACTAAAGGCAGATGTAAGGCAGGATGCACTAATACTGAACTTTTAGCTAAGTCTTCCAGATATCTGGCTGGTGAGCTGGTGTCCAGCACTTGGGTCAGGTAACACCAGTCACCACATCTGCAGGGGGAATGAAACTGTAGTAAAATTGCAGTAAAAGTCATGGAGATTCAGCAATTGTTGCTCTATTTTTGTCTGTAGTGTGCAGGCATAGTCCTTTCTCTAAGAATTTACCCAAATTTCTTGTTACTGCAGTGACTAAGTATATCGATGACATCTTTTCTTCCTCACGTTGGTATGTGGAATAGATGTTCGATGAACTTTCAGGACAAAGTATCTATTTCACAGTTCATTGTACTGGAAGGTAAAGGGTGAGACTCCCCCATGAAGCAGGAACTTCCTTTCTGTGTTCTTCTATATTTTGACCTACCGTAGATACAGAAATAAACTGAACAAACCCAGCTTCAAAATGAGTTAGCTGCATTTACGAACTATGAGCTGCTAAAAAGTTAAGTTTTTCTTCTGTAGGAATGGAAGATACCCTCTGTCTTACAGAGGTCATTTACAGTTGCAAGTGAAAAATGAAAATTGGTTAGCTTTCCCTAGTTCCAGAGCCAAAAATGGAGGCTAGCAAACAGGACACACCTCAACCCTTAAATGTGCATAAGGCAACAAAGATTAATATACTGAATTAGACGTTTGGGTTTTTTTTTTTTCTTTTTTTCCCCTTCTTTTCCCAAAACTGATGTTCTTTGAAAATACTGTAAAAGTAAGGTTTTAAGATTCCGGCCTGTTTATTAGCATCACCCTTTTCCTTCATTGACGTAGACATTTATCTTGCTCTCAGAATTTGAGTATTCAGTGCATTAATAATTAAACAGAAACATTTCACGGGAATTTAAGCTCGTACCCCCGTCTCTTCCACTTTCAATCAGAATTTGTTCATTTCTGTTTTGTTGTGCAGAGCAGATTATTTATCCCATTTTTCCTCTGGAATTTCCCCTTGATTCTCAGTTTTGCAGAGCCTCATTTTCATTTGAATTTGGGAGTTCAGAGGGTTGGACCTAAGGATGTTGTCAAGTGTTGCTGGCAAAGCATCACAGAAACATATTCTTTCCTAACTGGAACAAAAAAAAGAGCTTCATTTAAGTTGACTATGAATCTAAGTCTTCCCCGTGTGCTTCGCTGTAGAATGGCCACTTAGAAACTTCCTCAGCACCTCTTCCGTTTATCTTCCCGCCAACTTTGCTGTGCAAAAGTGGCACTTCTCCTGATGGAAAAAAAATTAACTGGGGAAGCTGATGCAAAAATAATTAGCAAGAGTAGCAGGTCCCTTTCCCATCAACCTTCAGGGGCGGTGAGGTCACCTCCTGTGGGGGTGGCTACGCTCGCTTCCACTGACTCAGCGAAGATTTTTAACGTTGGATCAAGTGACTCAGTACGATGAAACCCCATGTGGGAATTTCACTGAAAACGGCACTTTTCACTGGAAATTAACGTCTGAATTTCACTAACCACGAGGCCAAAGGGCC